TCTAAGAAAAATTAACCACTCTAGCTATTGCAGGACTGTCAATGCTATTTGAAAACGGCATTATCTCCATATGATCAAAAATGCACTGGAGTTCCCTTCAAGTTCCGCAGCAGAATCAAACATGCACTATTTTAAGAGTGCGACATCACATTAAAAAAAAAAAAACACTAAAGGCAAAGAACAATTTATGTCACAGTAAAAGCTCAATGTATGACGTTTAAAACAATATTAACAATAACGCCTCACCGAGAAATCAAGCTAAACGCATAACACGACGAGTGCCAAGATTGGGACATTCGCGAAATGATTCTGATGATGTGAGAGTGTCAGCCTACAATCAATCACTTGTAACCAAACTAGCTGCACAATAAAAAGAACTTTCCATGCATTTAAGAAACAATAAAATACTGCTTGTGAGCGATTTATAAAAAAAAGAACCGCGTGGGGTTACATAGAATGGCACAAGTACTCCAAAAGTTCAATCTAGGGCTCGTTAAGCTGGATAGGTGTTATCTAGAGGAGCATAGTTAAACCAAGCAAGCAGAATTGGGGCCTCCAAGACTGTAGAAAATTGTTTAAAGGCCGTTGTTACTGAGGCTCCACTTTCATTCTGCTGCTACTGGTGTCGGCGGCCGTGTAGTAAAGGCTGGCATCGTTGGGCCTGGAAACAGTGATGTCTTAAGAGTCTGCTTTTAGGCACGAGTGATTTGAAGTTCTTTAATGTGATGTGGACCATTCAAACGTGATTCTTCGCATGAGCGGAGAGCTCGTGGCTGGTGTGCACCGAACACTGGACGCGTCTGTAATATCTCTGGGTCATTAAACCTTTGTTTTCGCTCACTCCACCAGCAAAGACACCTTTTCGTAATTTTATGATGCTAAAACTTGGCACTGCGATCCGAGCGAACCGACGAAAGGACTTCGCCCGCAATGAAGATGGAGCGCATCATAGGCAAACGAACGGCTCAGCGAGCTCTGCACAAGCGATTATATGAAACGATGCACGGCAACTGATCCGACTCCAACCAGGTCACCTCATCGGACCTTCGTGTGATGCAGGACCAACTGAAGGCATGTAACGAAGGCCTGCATGCGCTCAACTTATAACTCGAAGCACACCTCACCGACGACCAAGTCGCAGAAGATTATGCCTGCATAACAATATGAAGCAATGCTGCTGCTACGCTGGCATTACTGAGTCACTACATAGAGGAGCTGAAGGCGTCGACCTCCAGGATCCCTGACAGTGCGGCAACCAATATAGCGAACGAAGGTATCCTCACTGCAGGTAGTCATGTCTGGCAATCAGATGACGCAGGAGTTCGTCGGCTCTCATCTACTTAAACTTGAGCTGCTTCACTTCTACGGAAGCTCAACGCAGTGGCAAACTTTCCAAGATATGTTCAGGCACGCGGTTCACGAAAACCCCAGCCTATCGAACATTGAAAGGTTCTATTATTTGAAGAACCTGGTGACTGGACAGGCATCGAAGGCTATCATTGGCATTCAAGCCACGGAGCAGTCATACGAAGATGCCATCGCCTTACTAAAGGAGCGCTTTGGAAACCAGAAAATCATTGAGCAACAATCCCTGTCAAACCTACAAAGGCTCAAGGCAGTAAAGTCCTCCAGCGATGTGGCTGTGTTAAATATTGTTGAATATTTAATATAAGAAAGAAAACGAAGTGGGTGCACAAGCGAAGAGCTCGTGGCTGGTGTGCGCGGAACAAACGTTTGCCAGACACTGGGCGCATTTGTAATATCTCTGACCCATTAAATTTTTATTTTCACTCACTCCACCGGCGAAGATACCTTTTCTCCTACAGTGATTTTATTTCATAATAAGTGCTTCATTGGCACAAAAGTAGCACAATCAGGTTTTTGCACCACTATTTCAACAATCAACGTCGACTTGTTTGCCTTTAGTGTCTGTCCATTTAGGAATAAATGCTGTGACTCATTTCGTACCAAAAATGTCCATAGAATAAACACCATGCCATTGTTGACCATGGACTTTGCAAGAGAACATTGGGCAAATGTTTACTGCAGCCTGCCTCCATGGTTTTGCAACTTCACAATGATTGTGCTTATTCCAGGTATGATCGTTGAACATTTTATCGTGAACAACTGTAGTAAGTTCGTAAGTTCAAAATTGGAGCAGATTTTATCTTATCAATCACGGTAAAAGCTTGTCAATTTGGACTTCACGAGACCTACTAGCCCAATTAACCGATTATCAAAGGCATCGAAAACAGAAATTTATGACAATTGACTTTCAACTTCTTTGAGAAACGCGTAATTCTAGTAGTAAGAGCAATGCAGAGGCCATTATTGTCACATTCTCTCACAATGCGAACCCTTTTGCCCTTGTTCGAGACATGCTTTGAATCCCAACCTTATGTACCAAAATGCAACCGCACTATTCCGAAAGCCTTCAGGTGTTTGCAAACACCATTTTCATTCCTTGGTGTCCCATATTTACGGAGCTCCGTGCCCAACATGCTCAGAAAATAGTCATACTTAGACGAAATGTGGCCAAACATAACCAAATTAATGAGTGACACTACTAAACAATGCATATGCTGGTCAGAACCAGCTCTGAACTAGATTTTCCAAATTAATGGCTGTAATTAGCGAGGTGTTATTGTATTCACATCACTATAGTTTCAGCTCTAAAGCAAAACCTATTCTAAGGTAGTTTATAAACGTCTGATGTTGCGTGTGGGGACATTTCTTTCCTCACAGCCCTATTAAGGTGCCTGACAACCAGCAGTGAAGCCTGGCTAGTGAGGGCAGCGAAAATGGACAAATTACGCTACTGCCCTTCTTCACTTGGAAGGCGAACTTCATGACTTTAAACCTGAACTTCATGCAAGTTCTTCTAAAGTGTTTTCTTGCAGAGTTCTTCCCGGCTAGGTAAACGAGACGAGAGGCCACACTTGTGGCCATTTCGCTCAGTTGCAGCCCTATGCTGCCTTATCAGGGGAGACCATAAAATGAGCCATCACTTATCACCGATGCGTAAACAGCTAGCTATTGACTGAAGCCATTGATTGCTGCTCTGAACGACCGCAGCAGACTTGGACGAGCAGTTCTGCGGATGAAACCCGCCAGGACACATGGTCTCACTTTAGTCTGCAGCAGTTTGAAGTCTATAGATGTTCGTAAACAAACAAAACAGAAGACACATTTGCCACATGAAAAGAAAGACTTGGTGAGAAGCGGCACATCTGCCATAATAACCGGCAAGGACGAGTAGTTTCGAATTCTAAGTCGCTTGCTAGTTACATTATGAAGATGAGCTCCTTCAACACAATGCCATGAACGAATCTCACGATTACTGCGTGACCATGCATTACCACGCCCGAAGGAAATATTACTGCCATACTTGAAATAATTTATTCAGAGGAGAAGCAGCAGCTTGCCATGGTTCTACCTCCTTCGCGGCGCCTTTATGTGGTAGCCTTGCTAGCCTTGACAGCTTGGCCACCAGCGCATGCGAGTGCTCACAAAGCGCCCGCGTTTTTTCACATAACCGTACTCGATATTTCGAACAAACGCACTATCTTTGCCAGCACGGCAAGGTCGCGTTAATCGAGAGATGGCACATGCAGAAACAAGCGCGACCGCATCCGACGCACGGCGGAATTCTAAGGCGTGATGATTCAGCAAGTTAAGGGGGGAAGGGTAACCTGCTCACTGAAACAAAAGCTAAACGCTCGGGACATAGCAAACGAATTCTCTTTCAATGGGTGATTAGGCGACTACACATAACAGACCTGTTGGCAGCTACATCCACAGCAGGAGATGCGCCAGGCCACGTGCGGACAGTCTGATAACGTGACGAGCGGCAGCAGAAATCACGTAACGCAGCGCGGCCGACTCACAGGCGCATCAAAGCAGCCTCCGACGTTAAGACTCACCCTCAGCTGACGAGTGACGCAAGAGCACAAGGCACTGCGCAACAACACTTACCAGGAAGGAACCACCGCGGTCAGAGCGACAACGCCGCTGTTCGGGCATGCCGCTCGAGTTTCAAAACATTATGCAGCCCGGTAAGCGCAGCAGATTCGAGTGACGCGAAAACACTCTTTGCAATGCGCAGAGGCGAATCGAGGTGCCGACGCATGACGCTGTTCGAGACAAAAGGCGAATCGAGCTAAACGCCAGCACCGCGTATAACGAGCGCGTTCAGTGACACCGCGAGGCGCGCTAAGCGATAGCCCGTGCCAATGTGCAGAGGAAAACGAAACGGATTCAAAAAGAGGAAAGAAAAAAAGCGCCAAGCGGAAAAACATCCTCGGCGAAATCGGGAACGATGTGCTCGGGAGAGGAGCACGACGAATACTGACTCACGCAGTGATGATCTTGACGCGTTTTCTCCGACATTGCTTCACGGGCACATGCAGGGTCGCACTAGCACAATTACCGGCGCGTCTAAAAAATCAAATCGACCCGACATGAAAATGAAAGGGGACGAAAGACGACGCCAGAGGCTGTCAACCTTGCGAACGGCGATCGCCCAATCACTCGTTCAATTGAAGTGGGTGGATTCCCGTGCACGAGATAATCGCCTCCATTTTTCTCCCGCCGAGGTTACGGCAAACACTGCACGCCAAAACACGGTGCCAAAAGAGCAGTGAGAAAGGGGCTCGAGGGGCCTTCGCAGCCACGGAGTAACGAAGTCGTACCACCAAGAAGGGCTTCGTAGAAGTATCCTCAAGGAGAGGGGGGCAACAGCTGATTTGTCAGCGCAGCTCGTCTCGTCACCAACTCGACGAAGGGCGTCTTTCGCAGCTTCCGCGCCAGTATACTGACAAGACCGTAGCGAGTTCCCGCCAAAGGCCACGAAGCAGTCGCGTTCCCGTGCACAGAGTGCGACGCAACCGTATGCACACACCGTCTGGTAGAAGCGAGTCGCTCGCTCCTGGCTTAGGCTTAAAACGACGTCGGGTCGACAAGTGTCTCGCGGGGAGAAATTTTTGTTGTGGTTGCTTTACCTAGACGCTGCCGAAGCTGGTGCCGGGCCTCGGTAGTTGGGTCGTCACACCAATGAGGAACGGATGACTGAGGTTCGTCACAGCCGCACGGGGAGATCCCTACTCCGGGAGGGGAGAAGCGAAAAAATTTTCTTTGCACAGTCCGCTGATCCGTGCACTGAGCGCGAGAAAAAAAGACACACCGACTAAACCAAGATGGCGCAAATTTTAGATCACGAGACTGATGACGTCATGAACGTCATGTGACTATGTGAGCGATTGAAGCGCTAAGGCGGCGTTGTGCAATTGTAGGTCACCAGTCTTAAAGGCAATGCTTTTGCGTATTTAAAGACACAAAATACGTCATGACCATCATTGCTGGTCATCAACTGCTCGTTAACTTTGGCCGCAAAAGGGCTTGAGTGAGCAGGCTTACTGTGCCTGCCGCAGATAAGTCAGTTTAAGTATTTTTGTAAGTACTGTAGTTGTTTTTTTTTCCGTCTCTTGTTCACGCTGGTTTTGGGGGCACCACACTACGGTGACAACGGCGACCCGTTGCAAAGGGACAAGACTACCAATCATCATCATCATCAAAAGTTAGGTGCGTCCGTGGTGCGTGCAGTGCAGTGCGTGTGTGTTCTCATCACCCGCTCCCCCCATAAACCTTTATTTCCATATAACTTGGGCGCTGTAAACAGAGTGATTTTGCAGTTTAAGCAGTGTAGTCACTTCCGACGGTGACGCCAGCCGCGCGTAGAATTATTTTTTTCGGAGCACACCATTCGACGATTCGATGCGCGCACGGCAGCTTTAGCTTTCAGTTTTGTCGCCCGTGAAGTCGGCTTCACCACAAACCCACGAACCGCGCCGGCGACAAGATGTGGTTGACACTATACGTTCGATTAGCGGAGGTGTCGCTCAGGACAGTGCCGACGCGCTAAATACGCTCGGGAAAACGAGGCGTCACAAATTCGACGGAGATGTTCCAGTTGTTCGAGACGACGCGACTTCTCTCCCTGCCGTCGTCTCGCCGTCATGACGGCGTTCGGGCGTCGGTGGTTTTATCAGCGTACGTCGAGAACGCCGACTGGCAGATCTTGGTTCTCGTCTGCAGCAGTGGTGAGAAGTCTCGATGACTTTCCGTATTTAATGATGCCAAGGTGTGAGATAGCGCGCGGCAGTTATCAACCTGCTAACTAGTTCTGAACGATCGATCGGCATAGCACGAGATGCAGGCTTGTTTTAAATTGCGTGAAGAAGCACATCATTGGTATGATTTAAAAAAAAATAATTTGTAGTCAAGATAACGACTACACTGCCTGGTCCGGGCGGAAAAACACGCGTTATTTCTCTCAAATATTCAGTACGTTATAGAACTCATGTTATCAATGAGATACAGCTGTGTCAAGCTCTTGCGCGCAGAGTGCTGCAAATAGTTTCAGGCTTTGTGTTTACGCCGTTTGATTTGGCCACAGCTACGATTAATTTCTCTTCCTGTAATTACGTGTATCGTGCTCTACCGTACCGCAGACAGATTAGATTCGGTTTAATTATTTGTATTAGTTCGCATATATCAGAAAAGCCTGCGTTACCCTGAGCTAGTGTTACGGCGTGCTGGCAAAACGAAAATATTTGGGCACTTAATTAATAGACATAGAGTGCAAATGAGAGCACTTGACTAATTAAGAGCTGCATGCGTGACATATCGCGCAAGAATGCAGAACGCAAATGCACGTATACCGCAGGTGCAAAAGCGAGAACATTAGCCACGCACAAATGTCTGATGAAGACGAAATAAAAGTGGGCATGCAAATTAGCTGTCATCATACGCATGACATTCATCTCCCATGTGGCTGCGATGCAGACTCTTTGCATCTATGTGCATTTTACAACCACCAGCGTGGCTGAATGGTAGATGATACAGTTCGATAATGATGCATATCTTAAATGATCGTTGATAGGAACCTCCATGGAATTACGAAATCGTTGTTACTTCTGGGGTTACCTATGGACAGCCTTATCTCGATCAATAACGGTGCAGGTTGCTGAGAAGGAAAAAAAAAAATGGAGCAGTGAACCCGAGCATGCTTTTTTGCAGATACGATGAGACACAGGCAGGTGCTGAAGAGAAACCTCCTTGTGTGCACAAACAAAATTGGACGAGAGTCCAGCAAAGCAGTAAGCTTCCGCCAGCAGCAGTACAGGATATAGACGAAGAAGGGAACTAGGCAAAGAGTGAACAATAATTTGTTATAGAGCATGAGAGCTAAAAAATTAAGATTTCAGGACGGTAGCTGGGTTTGATTTATATGTGCATGGCATTAAAGGGAAAAGACAATATAAACATTAGGGATTGCATAGTGCTGTAGCAGTACTCATATGAGGTATGTGTATCACTACATCCATAAGTAACTGTCGACCGGAGAAATCTATTTGGACGAAATTTTGATAAGGTAGCTGTGAAAGTTTTAACTTCCATCTGGTAAGTCTGGAGGCTTTGTGTTTAGCATACTTGATACATGGCCTATTTATAGTCCCAGAATCAATCGTATACGAAGTGAACAAAGCGGCGTTTAACATGTCCTGACTTTGCCACATTGAATGTACAGTTCTTACAGCAGAGCTAAACTATGAGTGGGTGACAGAAAAATACAGAAGTATACCATGTTAACGCGTTTCATTCTTTTGTTTTATTTGTCATTTTTTTATCAAGCTTAACTTACCATACAGATCACTAACCAAGTTTGAAATGTGTTCTTGAAAAGTTGATTGAAAGTTGACTTTTATTCCCGAGTCATCGCACTCATTCGAAATATATGCATTTATGTGTGTATGCTTTTGTAAGTAATGTTCACTTTTGTTAATATAATGTTAATTTGGGTTCATTGCCAAAATATTGGCAGTATATCACTGGCCTGCATGTTATGGCAACAAACCATACTTTTTCTTTTTTCGTATTGCGGTAACACTTGATGGTATAGCACCCAAAAGATTACTTTAGCGAAATGCACATTCTTTGAGACTGTGATACAGGTGTTGACAAATAATCTGATAAAGATAGACTCTTTTCGAACATCAAAAATCAATTTATAATGCAAACAATGCTCAATACCAATATGTGTATAATTTGTCGGTTACGATGGTTAGTCTTTGATCAGCGAGAAAAATCTCCTACATTTATTGCCCGACTACTGTCAAATGCTGAAGCACTGTAAAAGTATACCTGATCAATGTGCCAGTAGTAGGATGCATTCATTTCAACAAAAATGAGTCGGCAAATCCTTCAAATTAAAAAAAAAAAGGGATGACACTTGAGCTCTGCTTTTAAGAGTAGAACGCGAGAGTGTGATTTGGCCACTGTGCAGAGCCTTCTCAAATGCTATCCTGACTTCGATTCTTGGTGCATGTCTTGGCTGTGCTGTAAAGAAACGAACGACTGTGCGTGTAATATTGTCAGTTTTGAACAATCCAAGAATACCTCCTGTAAGTCCAGTTAAGTGCCCGCTACGCTATAATTCTTTCTTTTGCAAATCAGTGAAGAGCCCACTACGCGTCCATGAGGCAACATGCAAACCTATAATCTCTGTGTTGATGACAAATAAATATGTCTGGTATTGGGTGGGCCTTCAAAACACTCACTCGTTATCCAAATACATGTTACGATGCCTGGTGCGATTCTGCACTTCTTCTGTGCAATAGCACATGCGTTCATTGTAGAATAATTTGTCAGCGCCACAGGTTGGACATACGTGCATACGTTAAGAAGACTCCCCCCACTAAATGACATTCATATAGCGTTTTCTTCTGACGCAGTTTCCAGCAAACCGTAGCTCTGTGAGGGAACGCCTGCTTACAATGCAGGCAGCACCGGTTTGATTCAGACTTAAACGGAAAATTTTCATAATTTATTTGATTTGCATCTTTCTCGATTTTTCGGTCCAGGACAACATAAGTTTTTGCTCACAGCCAATGAAGACGACACCGGAATTCTTGTGAAACGAGCTCGTGTACATTGCAGGGCACGCCTTTTCAGCTCATGACAAAAAAAAAAAACAGCTTTACAGTTACATTACATCAGCAATTTGCATTCGCAGATATTTATTATTTGTTTAGGTAACAGATGCATTTGATCAGGATGTGATTAATTTTTCTCTCATAATGTGCATTGTGTATAGGCCAGTTAACTTTGTGCATCTTATGGAATAACCAGCGGCTGGTAATAATTATCATATCTTAAATTTTTTATCTTTATAGTGCTCATATTAATTGGCATACTGGCTCAGGATATGCTGCCTGGCATAAAATATCAATTGGAGCATGTATCAAAGTGCAGTGCATACATACAACAGTTGGTCACAGGTTAATTGCACTGTACTTTCCTAATCATTGCACGTATGAGAACTGATGTCAATGAGCAGCATTTACCTCCATTACAATGACCGTACTATGTGTTTGAAAATATAGAATAAGCAGCTGTATATGCAATTTACTGAAAATATAAAAGTCAAATTTTTAAAAGCAGACATTTCTGAAGCATCCTTATTGAAAACTTGGGCTCCAGCTTTCCATATTTTGCATAACTTTTCTTCAAGATATGGTCACTTGGTCACCGTAACAGTAGTGTATATAAGGCCATACTAACGTGATAGCATTGTAGAGCTTGTTTCACAGAAATTCCGGAGTTGGTGTCATTGGTTATGTGTGAAGAATCACCTTGTCTGTGACCTGAAAATTGAAAAAAAAAATGCAAGTAAAATAAATGACAAAATTCTTCGGTTTGAGTGAGCATCAAACCCATGCCGGAGACAGAAACTTGGGATGCGTTGAAACTGCTTAGAGAAAAAAAGAAAAAAAAAAACACTGTGTGAATGTAATGTAGTGGAAGGAGTCTCCTTAACACATGTAATATTGTGAGACACAAGCATAAAATCACATAAGACATCAAACATGTGAATTACGTAATGAGTGGCTGTTCTATAGGCCCCTCATTACAAGGCTCTCAGGCATTTAATGATCATTAGCTGCAAAAGCAGTCAACAAAGAGAGCAGCTGTGTAGGTTTGCATGTTGCCCTACGGACACGTAGTGGTTTCTTTGCTGATTTGCTAAAGTAAGAATTATGTTGTAGTGGGTGCCTGACTGTACCTTCATGCTAGCATAGATGGGCAATGTTATGTGCACAGTCACGCATTCTCTTATGGCACGGTTGATGCATGCATGAGAATGAAGATTGGCTAGAAAATGGGAAGACTACCTGCATGGGGCCCGATTACGCTATCGCATTACACTCCTGACGGACAACGGTCGAGTGACTTTCAGGTTTTTTTTAAATTAAAGGATCTTTTGGCACAGTTTTGCCAAAATGAATGCATCACATATCTGGCACATTCAACAGGTACTTCCAACGCGCTTCCACATTTGACAGTAGTCGGGCAAAAAAAGTGGGAGATTTTTCGTGCTAATCAAAAGCCTTTCAATCAACACAGTTAAATTACACCCGCATCAGCGCGAAACATTTCTTGCATTATGAGTTGATCTCTGATGTTCAAAAAGAATCCATTTTTATCAGGTTATTCTTGAACACCTATATCGCTGATTCAACAAAGAATTATGGCATCGCAGGCACTCTGCAGTTGTACCTGCAGTAGACATTCTAATATAGTAGGAAATGCTACAAGCTGAATCATTCGTTCCATTACGGTACAGTTTAGGTATACATAGAAAACCAAAACCAGGCTAGCACTTCAGAAGGCAATGCACATGGGGTCCTATAATGCTATTGCATTCTGCTCTTAAAGGGCCACTCACCAGGTTTGACAATTTTGAGCTGACAAGCGCAATGCGTAGACGAGGCGTTCATGATCACGTCTGCCAAAATTTGCAACGCTATGCGCCGCGAAAATGGGTCAAATTTCAAGATGAAAGCTGCTCTCCCTCCCCTCTGCCGGCACACGCGTAGAGAATGAGGGCATGATGTATGCGTAGGGATGGCCCTAAGTACACGGCAATGCAGTGACGTTGGTCCTCTACGTAGACGAGTCTGCTCCGACGTTGTCAGCAGTATACCACGTGACATGGCAAAAATTATTTAACACAACATGCGTAGTTTATGTATTTGTTGCTTTAAGAGATTAATAAAACTTGAAATAAATAATGAGACGCAGTAAAAAATTGTGCGCGCTTTTCTTTTATTTTTTCCCGTTAAATGCTACAATATGCGAGGCTAATGTGCCAGCGTTTCGCATGCGTTCAAGTCCCCGCGGTCAGCGCGTTGAGCAGACGACCACCGTGGAATGCTCCTACGCGTTCGCGCACTCACTGTGCTCATCTACTCTACCGCGTCTAAGCTAGCGTTTCCAAGCCATCCCGCAGAAACAGGCAGAAGACCACAAAAATAACGCTGGTCAACAAAGCAACGCTGCTCGCGTTCTTGGGGGTTGGACTTGTTTGGGCACGTCATGCGCACTTAACCTCATGGTCGGATGCTGGAGAGGGTGGGGAAGAGATTTGGCTTCCGAAGGCTACGCGAAGGAGCGGCAAGGGTTTTGAGCTCCCCCTCATCCTCGTTTCATGCCGCTTCAAAAAAACCTGTTTTCTCCGCTCGTGATCAACCGATTCGAAAAATTTTTGTGGCAAAATGTTCCTCATCGGACACGCAACTACTTCCACTGTCTAACTAAAATTTGGTATGGGGCCTGGTGAGTGGCCCTTTAAGGCAAAGTACAAGCGTACTCCAAGTTCCCCAGTCTCATAAAGGAATCAGAGACAGCCACACTAATATTATGAGCTTTTTTTAATTTTAATTACTTGTCTTATTGTACTATCATTTTTTAAGCCACTACATGTTAGTAAAAAAATATTTAACTCTTCTCCTATTACATTTCAATAACTAAACCAGACTCCCCATTTAGTGTTTTTGTTTGTCTTGAAATTATCATCTAGTTTTTTTTTTGTAACGAAAACGTCATGACGTTTTTTTTGACGGTGCCTGCTGGGACCTATATAAATCCTAATTGATAAATATGAACTAAGTTCACCTCTAAGCAGCCCGGAAATTTAACATATTGCATTTCAGTATGTTTCAATGAACCAGTGCCCCTAAAATATGACGAATGCAGCTTGAAACCTCTGACCCAACACGCAGAGATTACAGCGTGAAATTCTAAAACGGAATTTAGATTTTCTCTTCTATCAATAAACTTATAGTGGTGAAATGAATGACAAATTTCAGTTTTCAGAGAACACTTTGTCAGTCTAAACAAAGCCAGTGTTTCACTTTAATTTCTCTTTAGGAACTAGGCAAAGTCTAAGCAAGTGCGACACCTCAAACTCAGGCCCAACCCTCAGCTTCAGACCTGAGCCCTGCCCGGGCCCACTGAGAAAACCACTTTACTTGGGCCTGGCCTGGCATTTTCAAGTGGGCCTGCGCTCGCGCGGTGCTCTAGTTGACCTGACGAATGCAAAGAATAAATATGAGGGTTCCAGCAGGAGTTGAACTCCAGCATTCTGCGTGGCAATCAAGTATTCTACCACAAACCCAAGTTACTTCTCCGGACTGTTTTTCAAATAGACCCAAGTGGTCGTGAAATGTCAATTGTGGTTCTAGTGCTGGCTATCTAAATTTATAAGCATTACATAAGTCCTCCTATGACATAGCCATAACGTCGGACTAATGTCAGTTGTAGTTAAGTGCCATTCACTGAAGTTGATTTATGTCCAGAGCTACCATCCTCACGAGCCCAAGTGCTACGTATCAACTTACCACTCCTAATGTTGCTAATACCCATGTTGTTGGAATCATTACTCAACCTGTAAACAACTGTTTGTATAAAACGTATGTAACTATTCAACATATGTCTGTGCATATGCATATGTACACATGTTTAGCATCGTTTCATGATGTTTATCTCAATAAAAAAAATTACTACACTGTCGCCTTTTCTTCGCATGATTCGCATAACATCGATTCCCAAGGTACGCATACTCTGCCGAATTTTTTAGGATGCTCAACACCTGTGTTTTAATTTAAAGCAACGAGCCAAAAATATTTAAATTTCATGTCAGCACTCTTTGATGAGTCTGCTACGGGTTCGACTTGCTTTTTGATGACAGCTGGTGTGTGACTGCATCGCAGGGCACGTGGTCTTATACGTGCGACACTTGCAAGACCCGCGACCTCGCTTCTGGACCTTGGCATGGTCGACACCACGGAGGCCACACCCATTTGGTGAGGTGGTGGCACTGTGCACGGACCCCCTGGGCACTAGGGTTGTCCTCGTCACTTCTGGTAGTGCTCTGTTTGTCTGGGACATCACTTCATTTCTGGTGAGATATAAATGCACAGGGCATGTCAATGCTATCTCTTTTTCATTTAGATCTACTGATAAATCTGGTAATCTAATGCTAAAGGTTGTAGATTAGCTCCCCAGCTGTGGCAAGTTGATTTTTCATCCACTTTAGTACCTCTCCATTTATGTAATAATTACTCTACTAAAGTGTATAAGTAATGTCCCCTATATCTTTCTCAGCTTTGTTGTTGGTTTTCATTAGGTTTGGTCTCACTAAAGAAATGAGCCCTCTTTTGTTCATTTAAACCACCAGATGATGTGTAAATGTGTGTAGCTTTTCTTTAGCTATTGTTAATAGTTCAAATAGAAAGTCTTAACGTATGTGTGCAAGTCATATTTTACACACAAAGGAAAGTTGAAGTTTAAGGACTTCTTTTCTTTTGTTAGATACAATACTGATGAGAACTAATTGATGCCAGGGAATGTATATGGGTTGTAATGAGTAGTAATTGTGATGTGAATGTGAAGAAAAGAGGATGAAAAGATAGCTTGCCTCTGTCAGGGACTGAACCTGTGACCAAACAGCTGTGTCTGATACTTTAGATACAGTGGCAGTCCCCCCTCTACTCTCTGGGTTCTAACACAAGAGTGCCACTGATATCCAATCAAGCATCAAATAGAGGAGGCATAGTGGAAGGTAACCTTAATATACTGCGTAGTTGGTGTGGCCGGCACTTGTTGATTACATGCTTCTTATCATCGATGGTGCTTATAATAGGTGGTACTTTCATACCCCCATCTTGCTAGTGTGCTGATAAGCATGATTTAAAATAGCAGTGTCATGTTATTTAGAATGTGTGCATGTGACTGGCCTCTAGTACAAGCTTGATGAAGCAGCCATCACTAACAGAGAACGGAATCACGCAATACAAAACTCTTGGTTCTCAGCACACAATTGGTTTGTTCAGCCGCTAAGTTGTCCACAACCTAGCAGCATGACATAGCAGCTGTCAAATTTTTGAGGATGCACGATTGTTTCCTGACCATGGCAGCTGCATTTTATCGAGGCGGTACATGTTAACATAGAGTTACTTACCACGACAGGTCTCATGAACATAATGTCCTCTTAATTTTTAAAACTATGCTGGACTTGCTTAATGAAAACTTTGGTGTCACCAAGCTGGGCTTCTAGTAGTTGTTCTGCAGAAAAATTTGTTACTCTTATTGTTACTTATTGTTACTCTTGTACTCTTATTCACACGAGTTTTACTCGTGTGAATAAGGAATCAGAGTTGATCCCGAAAAGCACCCTCATAACTCAAAATAAGTTTTAGCTGTTTGCATCGTACACTGTTGAGCATTTTGCAAAGGGCCATTCTTTATGAACTCTCTGCTGTCGTAGTCTAGCGGTTGTGACGCTCTGCTTCATAGCACTGTGTTGCAGCTTTCTTGTCTACACATGATTACCACATTGTGACAAGGAGAAGCATTAAGAAAGAAATCACTCTCATGTAATGCTTTGGGTGCGCATCAAATGTCATTGAAAAAAGCCAAGGCACTAGGGCATTATATGTAGTAACTTGCTGTGTTTCTTTCAAATGAAGAGCTCAACCAGCGAGTAAACTATTCAAATTTCTAATGAAATAGTATTGGGAGTGCAATATAACGGGACACAAGGGAGGAGACAAACGAGCGCAGACTGAAACTTGGTTTATTCAAGAAAGATAATATAAACCAGAAAGACAAGAAGGGAAAGGGAATTGCAAAGGAGAAGGTTCCGCTCCGATCAAGTGTCATCCAAAAATTAGATTTCCCAATATAACAATGATATAGACGGTGATCTGACACAACTATCAATATTCTTTTTTTATCAAAAAGGCTTCCCCAATTTGTCTAGTTTTTGTGTCACGATGGGTGTATAATGTATTCTCCCTTGTATTTCCCTTTGACTTCTTGTCTTTCTGGTATATATTCATAAAATAAACCAAGTTTCAATCTGTGCTCGTTTGTCTCCTTCCTTGTGTCCTGTTATATTGCGCTACCAATATTTCATTTTGAATATATACCAACTAGCCCGCCTATCAACCCTTCTACTATATATTCATATTCCGTTTGCAGAATGAACACACACACAGTGCCAACAGGAATGTGGTGGACGACACGCAGTCAATTCATCTTTCTAGAGACCGAGGTAAGTAGGGGTTGTGAAGTAAGTGCACATTGTGTTTGGGAAAAAATGTCTTGTAGTGATTATTTGCATGAAGCACAAAGTACCTTAAATGCTGAAAAATAAATTTAAAAAAACAATTGAAAAATTTAGAAAATGGAACTCAATCTACCCTCGAACTCTTCTTGTCATTGGTAATATAACATGGAATAATGATTTCAAGACAAGATGGATTTGTTGAAGTGCAGTCTTTGTTTTTTCAGCACCAAATACTCGAAACTGTTCTCATGTACAGTGTTCATGCACTGGTGACAATTCATGGCTAGTTAATGCGCATTTTGTTTCCACCCTCTTCAGTTTGCATCAGGTCGATGTAATTTTGACGCTAGCACATCTGGCCGGCAGTGACTATAGTGACGGGGCCCGTCAACGCAAGTACTATCGTGAAAGTGAGGGGGCTTGTCTGTGTAGTGTAATCGTGATTACTGTGACAGGGCCCATCATAATAGCGATGCCGCTGTAGCGATGGACCCCGTCATCGTAAAGCAATGACTACGTCCATGTAGTGTAATGGTAAAAATGAGGGGGCCTATTGCCGTAAATTTGTAGTAATTTTAGACGCCACCGTCTAGCTGTTCTGGTGGGGCGGTGAGTTGACGCAGTTAGGGAAGTGGTCGTGCCACAGGTCGTCAGTGCAAATTGCCTTTTTTTTTACTTTTCTTCAAGGGTAATGCATCAATATTGACGTTACTGCTCTCAAGTAGTCGTAATCGCCCCGCCACGGCGGTCTAGTGGCTAAGGTACACGGCTGCTGACGCGCAGGTCGCGTGATCGAATCCCGGCTGCGGCGGCTGCATTTCCGATGGAGGTGGAAATGCTGTAGGCCTGTGTGCTCAGATTTGGGTGCACGTTAAAGAACCCCAGGTGGTTGTAATTTTTAGAGCCCTCCACTACGGCGTCTCTTATAATCATATGGTGGTTTTGGGACGTTAAACCCCACATATCAATCAAGGAGTCGTAATTTTGCTTTTTGCTAAGAGATCATGTCGCTGTTTGTGCTGGTTGTTAGGCAACCCTGCCGCGTTGATTTTTGAGGTGCAGTGTGTACATTGTTGGCGTGCAACATGATGCACTGTTGGTATACACTTAAGTTCGAATTGCGATGACCAACTAAACTTTTCTTTCTTTTCTGCTTTCAATATTGTTTGGAGTAATGTTGCCTCTTTTAAAGAGAGAATCGCGTTGGGCAGCATCCTACAGTGGAGTGATGGGAGGAGCCACTGGCCAGCGAGAACGTGGATGATCAGCTTAGTCGAGATTCTTGCTGACAGACCCGGCTCGCCGAGTGGCAGCTGCCGTTGAGTCCTGGTCTGAGCTCCCCCCACCGCGAAATCTCCTGCAGTACTGCAAGTGTAGCAAGTTTTCACTGCCACCATTAAAAGCGCGTGCACAGACACCACCACATGGAGGCAATTAATACATCGCTGTAATGTAATCTAATTATGAGGTGGCCCATTACAACGCTGCCTATAGTGATGGGCCTCAACATAAGTGCTGCTGCTTGTGCTCTTACTTATGGGATTGGAGAAGTTTTTGTTTGTTTTTTTCTTTACTGCTGCGTGATGTGACTGTGTTCAAGCTCCCGTCGGCTACCTTCCCTCATCGTAGGACACGAAAAATATGCAGAACGGATTGATTTGGGAACATCACATCATGTGTAACAAATTATTACTTGGAACTGTGATATTGATGAAAAGAGATGGAAACTACGCCGAGGGTAGTCGTTCAAGGCGATAATAAAGTTAGAGGAACCGACGACTGATTTTTGTCGACCGACTTTTTTCGGCGCGGCAAAAAGCTTATCTTTTGCAGTATTTGTAGCTGCAGTAGTTCATTCCAAAAGCATGCAGTTATTTTATAAGCAGTATTTTTCGATTTGAAAGGCTCTGAACACGAATGTGCCCTTGCATCCAGCAACGCTGAGAATTGATGGCGATGCCGGTAGCATTTCTGGTGACTTGCGAATGCTGTCATTTTTCTGCTTTCACAGGAGTTCCTGTAACTCTGCTTAAGCACTTTTACTCTGAGCTTTATAAATATTTTCGAAAATAAAAAGCCGTTACAATGAGACGACGAGACGATGTGGCTTTATGCAGCTTGCCTGTATTTTTATTGCGTTGTGTGCGCCTGCGCCAAGGTTGTTGCGGCTGTGTCGTGGATGAGTTGTCCTGTCATCGTTACTTTCTCGATACACGAGCCACGCCAAGTAATCGAAAACGAAGCCGGACATATGTACGGCTGCACCGAGTAGCAGCGTGTCATTTCAGAGATGAAGTAAAACTGTGTTGCTTCATAATCTTAGTGACTTGGAAATGCGAACTTCAGCTCGCATGCGGGAACAGAATCTGAAGCCCTATGAGCATGCGCCTCATGCGGAAGGCTGAAGCCGCTCAAGACACGCTGACGAGCATGGGATTGTGACGTCATGCGAAGGCAGCGTCACTTCAATGCATACTCCTAACGCAGGCTTGTATGTACATTTTTATTGAATAATAGCTTTTGCTATAAAGAAACAAACAATATTTCAGTGCTAACAAGAAAAATTGTTGACCGCGTACATTAACATACGGTCACGTGACAGGACACATCGGATAGTTAGTGTTTTTGCCACCAGAAATGCCACTATAAGGGACAATCTTTCTATCCGTGCAGTCATCTTATTTCATTTTCTGGGCAGTTGTCGGTTCCTTTAATATGCGCACATACAAGGTAAGCTGCTCACCCAGCGCAGTATCAATCGGAAATAATCAGGGAAAGGTCTTCATTCCACGTTGGATGCAAAAGAAAGTTGATAGTTATATCTGGGATGAATAAACATGATTATCATTTAAAAACAAGCAACAATACATTAAATAATACTGAAAGCAGAAAATAAAAAAAAAAAGAGCGTGATTCGAATCGAAGTCGAACACCAACCACACTGCGCCATGAAATTTACGTGGTAGGGCTGTCTAACAACCGCCGCATATAGTGACATGGTTTTCTTGCAGCATTTTTTGGAAGAAAAAAAAAAGAGAAAAAGTAAAAATAACAAAATGGGAATACGCATTGACGACCTGCCGCATGACTGATTCCCCAACTGTGCTTCAACCCACTGCACCACCAGAACAGCTAAACAGTGGCGACTAAAACGACTACATATTTACTATGACGGGCCTCCTCACTGTAGTCATCGCTTTATAGTGGCGTGGCTCGTCGCCATAGTTGCATCACAATTATGATGGGCCCTTTCACTGTTATGATGGGAACGCAGTTGATGGGCCCCGTCACCATAGTCACTGCCTATCTGGCGACACACTCTGCGCATAAATTGGCGCAACCTTTACCCTGTCATTATCAAGCACGGTGTGACACGCCTGCATGCCACATCACGCCTCCAATAAATTACAGCACCATCGCAGCATCACAGAACAACACTGGTGGTGGCTACAAAAGCCAGCTGCTGAGCTTGGTAGACTGTCATTGCTACACTACCCAGACTAGTGTCGATATGTTCATCCGCTGCTGTTGTTAAACGAATAAGCGTCGGTATGTGTGATGTTAGGATTCCTCCTTTCATGGACATGAAATTCCACACATACAACACTGTCAACATTACCTTTAGTGGGCAAATTGTAGCTTAATAATGATGTTGACTTGTGCAATGGTACATACCAGTCGTTATGCTGTATATTTTATTATTGTCTCTCAATTCATGTGTGCAGTACGCTCACTTCAGCAATTGTTTCTTCCATTCAGTGTTAAATATTTAAGCCTTTCCTGTAGCAGAGCAGCGATACTACTTCATGTGGGGTCTTGAAATGGTGAGCCCCATGCTCTTGGAGTGAACGGACACAGCAGACACGATCGGAACAAACCCAACAACACGTACATTTATATAGCTACTTTTAGAAACGACAATATCGTTAGCCGAACAATTATAACATCAATTGGGATAAACTCACTAAAACAACCTTACACAATATTACCATAGACTCAACAACATAACATACACAAGGCGGCAAACACTTGACTCACCATAAGGGCCCCCGGCAGGCGGCCTGCGGTGTCGTGCACCGAGGACACACTGCTGAGAGACAACCGTTCATGCCAAACGCCACCAGCCGAAGACACTCAATCTATTCTCTCTTGCCGCCACCAAAGCTGGCTGCCTAGGGGTCACCGCCGGCGCTACCCATATAACCATGATGATGATAGTTGTGATCAACGCTTGCGAACACAATGCCGCCTACCGCTCAATAGCTGTGACTCTGAAACACGGCTTCTGCGCGAAACACGTGCGCCACGTGGTGCAAATTTTAGAGGGCGTGTCAGCACCCCCACATCCCCCCATATCCCGAAAAACCATATCCCGAAAAAAAAAAAAAAAAAACTTAGATAAATTAGCTACACAAGCCCTAACAAAAAATGACAACACATGTCCCTACATAACGTCCCTGCACCACGGCATCGCTGCCGGTCGACACTGCTGCACTGTCCGGTTCGACGACTTCACCTCAGCACCGGTCCCCGCAACAGCAACGTTAGCAGCGTGACGAACCGTCACTTGCACCGACACGTCTTCTGGTTGCGACCAGCACTCACGAGGGCGCTGGACTGCAGGCAGTTGCACAGGTCCCAGGCATCTCTATCGCCCGACCTCACGACTGCATTTCTGACCAGCGGCCATGACGATGTGCACAAGACAGCCAGCCACGGGTTACATCATTCCCGCTGCGTACATTACAAAACACTTGACAGAACAATGGAGTAGCGCAGAAGGGAAGGGAGCTTTGTGCTCCTCCCGCATGTGGTACGATGGCCAGTACTGCTGGCAAATACATCGGTGACGGCCGAGACACACAGCTACATTAAAGCAAGAGTCACTTTTTCTAACTCGTGCATTACAAGATAAAAAAAAAATTAGGGAAGAGGGTACGCGTCCTTCTTTGTAACCTCACTCAGCCTGCGGTAGTCTACACAAA